CGCCGCCCCGACGCGGAGGCTCTGGAGCCGTCACCGTGGTGGTCCCGGCTCCAGTTCCCGCGGCCGCGCGACGTGATGACGTAATGCAACTCGAGGACCGCCCCCTCCCTCCCTGGGGCCTGCGTCACGTGAGGAGGAGGCGCCACGTGACCCACGGGTACCCGGCTTCAATACGCTGCCAGGAAGCCGGAAAGGAAGAGGTGAGGTGGGATGGGGTCCGGCCGGGAGGGGGATGCCCAGCTCTCCAACTCGGTCATTGGCTGAGACTCCAGGGCCCGCCGGGCAGGGCAGAGGATTCCGAGGCTTTCTGTAAGGGTCTGATGGCAGGGAATATGTCTTACCTGCCAGGTATTCAGGAGCCCTCTCACATCGAGAAAACCCGCAGAGGCTTCAAATGTCTTCACGTCCGTTGTCTACATGGCCCTTTTCGCGCCGCCTCCGCTGTGGTGAGAACTCTGAGACCTGCGATCCACAGACCTCAGCATTCTCTGCATCGTAGCAGGTTCTATAATCATCACTAGGGTGATTTTACGTCTTTCACTCCACGGCAGGTGGAAGGAACTTGTGGCCACAGGAAGTTGGACACTGTGAGGGAAATTGCGAAGGATCTTCGACAAGTCCCAATACCCCTTATTGCCACTGTTTCTCTCTGCTGGCTTTTCACCAGGTCATAGGTGCTGAGGGTTTAGTTTAGGAATTTTGCTTCTAATTGATTTTGGCGCATTTATCTTAGTAGCTGAGAAGGCAGTTTCCTTGGTTCAGCGTATGTGAATTTCCAAACTAATTGTGCTTGGTTATACTGTTCTCCAACGTGCGGCCTTTGATTCTTGAGAATAGTAAAACCATCGCCAAGTGGACAGCATTCTAATTTTATATAGCGTTTCCATCTTCCATATGATATCTTCCTAATCTAAAACTCCCTGTGATGAATATGCTAATTACCCTGATTCGATCACTGTATGCATACGTACACGTATATACACATTGTATATATGTATTGAATTATAACTCTGTACCCCATAAATATGTACAACCAATACGTGTCAATTAAAAATAAATTAAAGTAAAAATTTAAAAAGCTGGTTTAGCCCAACACAAATAAATGAGGCACAGCCGTTTGTTGCCCATTGACAGTCTTGGACATGCTCTTGCTGCTTACCCACCCATCAGGTACAAGTATTTAGGAAGTTAGTGAATGAACCAGAAGTATGCAGTTAGAGAACGAAGGTAATAGTTACTTGCTGCTATTAGCAGTTCTGACAAAAGCAAGGGAAAATATTGAAATCAGGAGCAAAAGGGATTTTTAAAAATGATCTGAGGCTTTAGAACATGGGGTTTAAGTCAGAATGATCTGGACTCAGATACTGCCCCCAATCCTGTCATCTTAGGAAAAATTACTGGTCCCCTGGAGGCATCTGCATTTGCAACCACTAGTGTAGAACTAGAAGGAAACCTAGAGATCATACCTGATTCAACTCCATCTGTTTTTTCTTTTTTTTGGCTGCTGGCCATTAAGGGTATCTGAACCCTTGACCTTGGTGTTATGAGCACCATGCTCTCCCGAGTGAGAGCATGCCCTCCATCCATTTTCTAGATGAGAAAATAAGAAGATCCAGAGCAGTTGATGAAACCTGGTGTGGTCCTCAAACTTGTTGAGGACATATTATGTGCTGGGCACTATGAGTAAATAACAGAAACACTGATGGACTGTGATTAAAGAAAGGCCAAGAATAAGAGCTAAGGATCTGATTCTACCCCTTTCCTATCAGTAAACCAAAAATTAGGGGAGAGACTAACTTATTTCTTCATATGTGCCCTAATTTTTTCACACGTGGAATGGGGATAATATTACCTACTTTGCAGGGTTAAAGATATAAAGACATACCAAAAGTACAAAGTAGGGGCTCAATAGATGTTCTCTTTCAGCTTCTCTTTTCCTGGTCCTATGTAATACTGAAAAATGAAAAAATATACACTGGGTTTCATCAGCTGCAATGGATCTCCTTATTTCCTTATCTAGAAAATGCAGGGAGTTGGATCAGATATCATGCCTAGTTTTCCTTCCAGACCTATACTAGTGGTTGAAAACTCAGAGGCCTCCAGGGGCTAGCAGATAACTCCAATGTGTGAGTCACTCTAGGTAGGGACAGTGATGAGCTGGAGAGCACAAGCCCTCTACTCTTGAGCTGTAGTTGGTTGTTCTCAGTGTGCAGGGTGAAACAAAACATCTTTGTGAACTTTTTTTTTTTGCAAATTTTATTGCTTTAAATACCGCTTACAAGTAACAAATTACGTGGGACACAGCTCACAACTGTTAAACATTAGTGTGCTGCATAATGTTTGAAAACTCTCATAAGGATAATCACACCATAGATTTTGCTTTTCAGATTATCCTTGTAGATGAAAACCCGTTTGTGAACATTTGAAGCCTACAAGACATCAATTTGTGACTTCTGTTAACAGTTAAAGTATTTTTTTAAACTTAAAATTGTTTTAAACAGGTACTTATTACATATAGGCAAGAATAAAGAATCTACGTACAAGGAACACCCAGGTACTCACCACTTAGTTAAAAATTTATTCTGTTCTTATCCCTTTAGAGGTAATCATTATTCTGAATTAATATTCCATTTTAAAGTTTTTACCATGTTTGTATCCTTAAATTATCATTAGTCCAAATTTCTGAACTTAACGTAAGTGCAGTCATACTAGATCTTCTGTAAGTTTTCCTTCCCTCCCTGCCAATCTTATTTTTGAGACTCAACCATGTTGTCACTGTAATTCATTTTCACTGATAGTGTTTCATTATATGAATAAATCAAGATTTATTTTTCCATTCAATAGTTCTGGACATTTGGCTTGTTTGCAATATTTTGCTACTACAAACAGCTGCAATCTTTTGGCACAAGCCAAGTTTTTCAAGATCTGTGTTTTTCAAAGTGTGAGTTGTGACTCACAATTAATTAATTAGTCATGAGAACAATTTAGTGGGTCAGAACCAGCATTTTTTTTCTTAGTGAAGTAATCTTAGATCTCAGATGCATCTTATATTGTAAAGTGTTGTTTCATGAAATGTTTGTTGTAATGTGTATATACTCTGTGCATAACGTGTGTAAACTACACAAAATGGTCCTGCCAGTGTACACTTGCACCAGCAGCATCTGGTCTGCTCCCCATCTGCACCAACATTAGGCTTTTCAATTTGTGCTAATCTGGTTGGAATGAAATGGTTTATCATTTTGGTTTTAATTTATGTTTACCTGATTACCACTTTAGGCTGAGAAACTTTTCCTGTTCCTCAGATGGATTATTTTTTAAAAGGATTGTTTGTTCTCCCTGTTGTACGAACTTGACCCTTGAAGTGAATCCAACCTTACAACTCAAGAAGACTCCCCTCTAATTGCCTAATTACATTAGCTGAGAAGTGATTACTGCCAGCTTATGCTAGCCAGTGAACAGAACTTATGTCAGGTTGAGTACAATTCACAAAGGCACAGAAAGGGATGGAATGACCCCTTGATGAGACACCCCTGGGCAAGCTGGGGTTTTTTTTTTTTGAGGCTGGCCGGTATGGGGATCCGAACCTGTGACCTTGGTGTTATAAGGCTGTGTCCTAACCAACTGAGCTAACCAGCCAGCCCAAGCTGGTTTTAATAGAACTAAACTATGGGACATATCCCAACACCTTTGCAAATCTTCTAATTATTAAATACTAATATAGCATACCAATTTCTCTAATAAGATGTCTGTGCAGTATGTAGGGGAAAAAGCTGTATTGAGAAACAGAAGCTAGGAATTTGATGAAGTTCATTCACTGGCCCACATAGGCCAGTCTGTCAATGCCTATGATTCATATTTGTGCCCCAGCAGAATCTGAAATTATTACAGGTCTTTTTTTTTTTTTTTTTTTTTTTGTCTTTTTCCGTGTCCGGCAACGGATCGCAACCCTCAGTGTCGCCCCCGTACCGGACCGGGACCGGCAACGGGATCGCAAGCCTCGGTGTTGCCCCCGCACCTCGCTCAGCCAGTGAGCGGGAACCGGTCTGTATGTGGGATCCAAACCCTCGGCGGGAGCGCCGCCACGCTTCCCAAGCGGCGTACTAGCACAGTGTGCCACTGGGCCGGCCCTTATTACAGGTCTTAATCCTTTGGAGTTGTGTGCAAATAACTGAGACCGTACATGTCAAATCTTTGAATGCCAAGTGTCTTCCGTACTTTCTTTTATTATCATCATAGTCTTTGCATCAAGATACACAGTAATGATAGCAGGTTTCTTTTTAAAGCTTAGTATTAAATATTAAATATCTTTCCCCATTTTAATTTTACATTACTCTGCCAAGAAAAAAAAAAATTAAAACTCAAGTTATTTGAAGCCTGGACACACGTCCATGATTAGCCGGGCTACGTAAAAGCTGGTGCCTTTATTCTTCCTGCTATGTAAGCAGATCCAGGCCCTAGAAAGGTGGGACCAGGTTATAATTGTTTTTGAAAAGTGTGCTACAAAAATTGATGGCCTGTTATAAGCCAGGTAACAAAGTAAGGATAGGGGTAAGGAAGGGACATTTTCCTCCAGGAAAAAACCAGAATTTCTGAAGAGTCCCAGTCCATAATTTTTCCCAAAATGGTTGGAGGAGTGGGTAAAATCTCAACATGAGCTTCAAAGTACTGTCTCTGTGAGGGGCCAGTAATTGCCTTGCCAGGGTGGGGGATGGCTCAGTTTGACCATCCCCACCTTCCCCAGCTAGGGGAATGGAAATGGAAAGTTTATTGCCCAGTGGGTGTGAAAGTGGGCTGAAGCTTGGTTGGTACTGAATTCTCTAAGAGGTTTCTTCTAGAAACAGACAACTCAGACTCTTCCTCTCACTTCAGCAAAGAAGTTATTTTTAAAAGCACTTGGGAAGTTCTTCCTCCACGCCTCAGGTGGGAAAGCTCAGAGAAGGGAGTCATCAGTACAGCCACCTTCTAGGCCATAACGGAATTCTTGAAGGTTGGAGACCCCATAGAAGTGGACAAAGGCTGCTGCCACCACCAGAACATGGAAAATCTGATGAGACTGGAACTGCAGGAATAAAAACAGAAGAGCCTTTAGGATAATGGCAAGAAGGTATTAGAAATAAGTAGGAGAAAGTATTTGCCTGTTCTAGCTTCTCCTCAAATTTTTTCTTTACATCATAAAAGCGATATATTTGTTGTAGAAAATTTTAAAAACAGACTTTGTCAGAGATACATCAAAATGGTAATATTGGCTATTTTCCCCAGTATACCCCCAAACACTACATGATCCAGGTCTTTTACCACCTTTTACTCAGACCTTTAACTTTCGGGCCAGTTATTCACCATCAAAGAAAGCCCTGCTGGAAGAGTCAGTTCTTACCCATATGTCAAATTTTCCAGGAAAGAAGCGCTCAGGAATTCGAGCAGCATAAAGACCAGCTCCAGTGATATACATCACAGCCATGAGGAAGAACCAGCCCATCTGGCCCACTGTGGTGGCCTTGACAAAGCCCTCAGCGATAGTAAAGTGCATGGTGGGCACAACACCACTCAAGCCAAGACCGAGGAATACCCCTGAACAGAAAAGACATAAGATCATCAAGCAAGGAAACAGCAACCACATGGAAGGCATTGTTGTCTTACTCTGGAATTCAAATGTTTATGATAATTAGCTATTTTTAGGTAACAGTACATGTTTTAGGAAATTTAGTCATAAGATGGATAACAGTCAGCAGATATGTCTTCTTTATACAGAATGGGAAGAAGGCTGTGTAAGTGCTAATACCTTTTAAGGAGCACCAAGAACAAACATTTCGTATTCTTCATTATTGAAGGAGCCTTGGCAAAAATGGTATGTCAAAATGCTCTGATGGGGTTTGGATCCCCTTACCGGCCAGCTGCAAAAAAAAAAACCTCGAAAAATAAACAAAAAACCCCCAACCCTCTGATTGCTGACTTGGGTACAGAACCTAAATGGTAAGGCTTCAGCTGGCTCCCAAGCCAGAGAAGAGTAGGATAGGTTTCCCAGTAACATCATAGTAGACTTAAGTAACCAGGACCCTGACTTCCTGAGTAGACAGATATACCCAGATTAGCAGTTGTCTGTCGCTGCTGGGCCACACAAATAAGGCAAGTGCAAGGGAAGAATGGGTACTTGTCTCAACACTACCACACTACACATAACTGGAGAACAGGGACTACCTTCTCTGTCTTTGTAGATACCCTTGTTTAAGCATAGTACCTGGCACATGATTGATGCTTGATAAATAATTCTTTTCACTTAACATTAAAACACAGCAGATATTAAGAAGTCTAAAGGGGCTGAAGACTAGTGGTAATTGGTGGTGTTGCTACAAGTATTAAAACTTTATAATAAATGAACACCAAGATATAAAAATAAGTAAAAGCTAGAGTTCAGATGAGACAACATGAAAATGTTTATGCTTGTAGCTATTACATTAGTTGTTACCACTGTTTATGCTCAAGGTATTTTATTTAATTGTTTTTTTTGCAGCTGGGCAGTACGGGGATCCGAATGCCTGACCTTGGAGTTACAAGGCTGTGCTGTAACCAACTAAGCTAACTGGCCACCTCTAAGGTGTTTTAATTTCAACCAAAATGACTATGCTTGCTATACTTTATACTTTAAACTATATTATTTATTTATTTTTTGTGGCTGGCTGGTATGGGGATCCTAATCCTTGACCTTGGTGTTAACAACACTGTGCTCTAACCAACTAAGCTAACTGGACAGCCCTTAAAACTGTCTTAAACCAAGTATAAGAGCAGTCGTATCTATCCTTGCAATTAACTGACCAGCTGGGTAGTAATCTGTCCTATGGCATTCTACTGAAATAGTGTGAAACTTAAGGGAGAATCGAGCTTTGAAAATTCATGCCATATTGAAACTTCTAAACACAAATCAGCATTTGGGTGGTATTCCCAAACTGCAAATCCTAGGGCCCAGCGTTGAACCTATCAGGCCCAAGGTCCAAATACCTGAGGTTTACACTAGCTTCCTACCTGCTCTTGTCTGCCGGTGCTTAGGAGTGGCAAACCGGTCCCACTGTGCCACAATGATGGCAGAAATGCCCAGGACACAGACGATGGAGAGGTAGATGAGCCGTGGCTGTGGGGAGCAGTAGAAGGAGTAGTAGAGCCAGGGGACAAAGCTCCCCATAATCAGTAGAGCGATCCCTGAATAGTCCAGTCTGAAACAACCACAAAAATGAGACAAATCAGCGGGAGAAATTAGGATTCCTATGCCTCATTTAGCAAGTGCTTTCTGTTCTCCACTTGTTCCCAGATTTGACCATCCCTAGTATCCCTCACTTTCCATACAATCTATCCTGTACCCAGGGTTAAAATTCCACAAGGTTAAGCACTTCTACTTTACAGTGGAAAAGTCTCTTAAAAATCCCTGCTCATAGAACTCTGTCCCTTTCTCTTAGTTGTGAATAGCTATATCCCACTAATGGGTATTTGAATTTAGAAGTTCTGTCACATCCAGCTGGTTGCCAGCATCACACTCAGGAAGGGCTCCGAATATGTCCCAATTCTGACCGGATGATTTCTAAAAATAAAATCCTTAGATTAGGACTATTATTAAGGGGTGCTTTCACTTGTTCTGTTTCAGTTAACCTTTTTAATGATGAAGATATATTCTTGTTACTGGTGTTATTGGGGGAAAAAAAAAATCCACCATCACCACCAAAACCAATAATAATACCAACAAAAACAAACAGAACACCAGGCTCAGAGATTGGGAACCAGGAAAGTGTTAGATAATGGACATCTGGGGCTTCCAGCAGTGCATGGGCAGCAAAGATAAGCTTTACTTGACTGGTGGGCAGGAGCACTAGCAGATGAAGCAGACTATTTACCGCACATGACTTTGGCTTGTGCCCATAGGAGGGTAAACTAGTATTGGGTACAAGCTCTTGGAAGGCAGCCCTCTGGCACCCCATGTTTCACAAAAGACAGTACTGTTCAGGTAAAAAGTATATTCCACAATTGGTTTCCATCTGCTGAGGAGGCTGTAGTAAGTTTTTTCATGAAGTGTTTAAAAGGAAAGCTTCAGCATCCTACCATATCCACACAACAGAAAGCCTTTTCTCTGGCATCTCAGGGGATCTTTAGGAGTTATAGGAATTCCCAGCACCTGGCCAGCACTGGGATCACAAGATGTGACAAAAGTGCATGGTCTTTTACTACTGCTGTCCCTTCAACTCACTTTGAAAAAGTCCGAGAGACTTTCTCTGAATGACAATAGACGGTGTGGAAGAGCCAGGAGAAGCTGAGGCAGAGCACTGCACCCAAAAAGAACATCCCAAAAACCACTTTCTCCTGTAGCGGGGCCATGAAGTACATATTTGGTCTGAGCATGGTCAAGATTCCTAAAAAGAGAAACAGCACAAAACCTGCAGGAGGGACAAAGAAAAAAACCTGTGAGAAAAAAGGGAACGTGTGCAATTTGACAGTTGATGGTTTTCAGTCAGTGAGCCACAGGGTTTAGCTGTGGGAACCACAGTCAAAATTTTCAGAAGAAAATGGCACCAGTCATACAAACCCTGACAAAAAGGCGATTTTTTGGGGGAAATGTTGGCATTTTGTCTTTACAGTGGGAAATGATGAAGCAGAAGGAACTGCCCCCATCTGGAACAGGTTTTGCCAAGCATCACAAGAGAACATCTAGTTCCAATTTCTTTTGTTTCCAACCCTTCCACCCTCAGTCTTAAAGATCAATGATCAAGGGTCAAGATCACCAGTAGTTTTAAGACACAGCTCCAGCTATCAATCAGTCAGACCAACTTTGTGCTGCTTCTTTCCCATGGACAAAGGCTATATAATTCCCTGGCAATTCAGGAGACAAAAACTGGATTTCCCCCCATCCACATCAACTCACCGAGCAGGTGGGTCCAGATGTTGCCAGTTTCTGTATGGATGCGGAAGATGCTCTTGAAACAAGCCCGAAAAGAGGGCATGGGTGGTCTATGGCCATGTAGCAGGTAGTCATTGTCCTTTAGCCAGTCAGGGAGCACATCATACGGGATGACCCTCCAACGTCCCTCCCAGACCTAGGATATAAACACTTTCTCTAGGCAGGGCCCTAGACAATACTAGCTTCCCCAAGGACAAGCAATGAAGGAGAACCAGTCTAGGAGGAAGTCCATCAGGTTTTGGATGGTCCCATGTAATAGTGGAGAACTAGCCTGGACCAGGAGATATACAAGGCACAGCACAAATGGGGCTGGCAGAGTACTGACCCATGTTTTGACCACTTTAAAAATATTCCTTTGTTGTTGTTTCATGTTAGTTTATCTGGATATGCTTTAGGTAAACGTTGCCCAACATTTAAAGAAAATGTGACACAATCTCCTTTAAGCTACTTGAAATTTCAAAATTAATAGTGAGTGGAAACAAAAAAATTACAGATATGGTTTTTAAAAACATATAGATCCCTGCTTTGCTCTTCTCCTCCAAGAGATTCTGCTTGCCCCCTGTTCCATCCTTTCTCCCAATTAGACCTAAGTTCTTACTAGGCTGGGCCTATATCTTTTTAGAGTGGGGGTTCTTAATCTAGAATCCACACACAGTGGACAGAATCCAGGGAGTGAGTGGAAACTTGGATGGAAAAAAGTATCATTATTTTCATTTACCCTTAATTAAATTTGGCATTTCCCTCAATTATAAATGTAGGCAAAAAATCACAGCAGTATCAGTAGAATTTGTGATTATGTCACCAATAGAAATTACATATATTTTGGGGCCGGCCCGTGGCTCACTCGGGAGAGTGTGGTGCTGATAACACCAAGGCTGCGGGTTCGGATCCCATATAGGGATGGCCGGTTGCTCACTTTGGTGAGCGTGGTGCTGACAACACCAATCCAAGGGTTAGGATCCCCTTACCGGTCATCTTTTTAAAAAAAAAAAAAAAAGAAATTACATATATTTTCATATATTAGTTCTGCAGATATCTCAAAATACTGTTTCTACTCATCACTACTTAGAAGTTACAAATTTTAATAAAATACATTAGCGCTTGTCATAAATGCATATTTAATGTTTTAGTAAAGGAAGCCACATTATTATATCACATTTAAATATTTTGATGACTGCCAAAGGGATCACAGCACAAAAAAGTTTAGAACCCCTGTTTTAGAGGATATTTTGAACAATGCCTAACACAGTAGGCAGTAAAAATTTAGCCAATCTTCGTCTTGATTTACTTTAACCAAAAAACAAACCCACCCACAGGAGTAAAAGCTTCTCAACCCAATGCAAGCTTGCCAGCTAGGAACATCTCAGACAAGCCTGCTGTTGGGCCGGCCCGTGGCTCACTAGGGAGAGTGTGGTGCTGATAACACCAAGGCCATGGGTTCAGATCCCTATATAGGGATGGCCAGTTAGCTCACTTGGGAGAGCGTGGTGCTGACAACACCAAGTCAAAGGTTAGGATCCCCTTACCGGTCATCTTTAATAAAAAAAAAAAAAAAAAAAAAAAAAAAAAAAAAA